AAAAAAGGACATATCAAGCTGATTAAATTAATACCGAATACAAAGATTGATATAGGGTGAGATGATGGCTGAATTGTAATCAATTTATTTTTTTAAAAGACTATCAAGTGGTCACCCATCCATATTACTGTAACTTTTAAAAACCCAATTTTTGTATTATTTAAAAAAAAACTATTTGGTTGTATAACGTGGACATTGTAGTTTAGGTGATTTATGGTAACATACAAAGATCGTAAACATGCAGATACAGTACGAACATAATTTACTATGTAAAATTCAATTCTATGGGATATGAGCTGGTTCCTATTTCACAGAGGAATAACATGGTTTATTTATAAGTGAAATCTAGATTTTAACTGAATTTGAATAGCTTCGAGTATTCATAGATCGGTACTTTGTGATTTTGTCTATTTGTTGTTGTTCTTCGTACCGATCTGATAAGTCAAGCCTTACCCAACTGATTTTTACATTTTGTGTTTATGTACTGATGCTATACCACCGTCCTAGATTTAAGAAAATGTGTTTGCGCTCATAAACATGCTTAACCCCGCCATATACCCAGCGTGACTGATCCTACTCTACAGCTCTTTGATTCAGTGTTGTCGTCGGTTACTCAGCCATATTTGATTTTTATTTATCATTTATAAATAAGTCAGAATATTTGTTTTCTAATTCGAAATATTTGACATTTTGTCATGCCGGTATTAGAGTTTATCTTTGTTGAAGACTGTTCATTTGGAACGTAATTAGTCGATGTCGACTATATGTCGTCGATATTGTCGATATCGAAATGACTAGGAAAAGCTATATGTTCAATATGCATAACTGTAGCAGTCAGACATTTGGATAATAATTCGTCGTATCGACATGATGTCGTCGATATCGTCGAAATCGACATCTTTAAACATAAGAATTCAGGAGAAACTAATTTGTCTGTATATATAACTGTAGAACATAGACATTATAACTTAACGTGTCGATATCGACTCGATGTTGTCGATATCGACATCCTAAATAGATGAACCAGGAGAAACTAAAATGCCTCTATGCATAATTGTAGCAGATATATATTTGGATCATAATTTGTCGATATCGACTCGACATTTTACAACGGACGAACCAGGAGAAACTAAATTGTCTTATAGACAACTGTAGTAAATAGATATTTGTAACTTATCGGTCGTCCCACTGTCTATATCACTCTGCTCAGCTCTAAATAAAATAGCATATCACGGCTTTGTGACGTCAAATACGTTAACCCGGCCTTAATTACTTTGACCCGGACTTATTGATCAGCGACGTCATAATGTTTGAACCGACGTTGATAAGTTTGACCCAAACTTATCAAGTTATCTTACGGTTTGCTGATGAAACAAAGAAAACACTTCCAAAATACGCAAATACAGCCTGATAATCGGTACATAATTTGTCGATATCGACACCTTAAATAGACGAACCCGGAGAAACTAAATTGTCTAGTATATAGATAACTGTAGCAGACAGACATTTGGATCATAATTTGTCGATATCGACTTGACATCGTCGATGTCGTCGATATCGAAACTACATCTTGTCTTGGACATACCTCAGGGCCAGCCGAAGCCCGCCTCCGGGTGCGGGACTTTCTTGCTGTGTTGAAGACCCAATGTCGGCCTTGTGTATTTTCTGCTCTTTGGTCGGATTGTTGTCTCTTTGACACATTCCCCGTTTCCATTCTGAATTCTAAATGGTGACATATTGTATAAACATCTTCCTATTGTTGAAGACTGCATATTGACTTATAGAATGTTTTGTTAATTTTGTTGTTGGGTTGCTGTCTCATAGGCGTATAATCCACATTCTATTCATATAAACCTTCATTTAAAAATTATTAAGAAACTAAGGTTTCAGCTCCAAAGTTGACCTAAGATGGCTTTGGCTATAATTGTTCTATGTCCTGTTTTGGTTATATAGCTCTTCAACTGTGTCGGTTCTTGTACATCTTTGGCTTTCAAATATTCGGCTTTGAAAGCTCCACCAAAAAATCACTATGAGAAACAGGTCATTACGCTTTATTTTGTGATTATTAAAACTTTTTCATAAAAACATACTCTTATAATTTTCTGCATAAAAAAAATATTTACTTGTTAATTAGAATCACAGATATAACTCATTAGTGGAATTTTATGCGACTGTCATACAAGTGAGAGGTTAAGCTAGCTATAAAACCAAGTTTAGTCCACCAGTTTCTACATAAGGAAATGCCTGTACCAAGTGAGGAATGTGACAGTTGTTTTCCATTCGTTTGATGTATTTGAGCTTTGATTTTGTCATTTGTTAAAGGACTTTCCGTTTTGAATTTTGCTTGGAGTTGGGTATTTTTGTTATTTTACTTTTTATTAATCACAACACCTGCTGTACCAGTACTAAGTCTAAACTAACTAAACAATGTGCTGTTTATAGTTGTTGTTAGTCTTTGGCGTCTATCTTTTCCAATGAATCGGTGTTGGTGGTTAGTGTGTTCAGAAGTATTTGTCAAATTATGATTATAAAAATGATTTGTTCTCAGATTGGTAATTCCTATTATTCTTGTTATGTATTATTTACTAATAGTAATTTACAGGTGATAAAAGTAGTGTTATGTACGGTTGTCATTAAGGATGTTCGCTCCTCTTGTTTTTGATTTTTTGCCAGATATTCGGAATCCTCTGGTTTTATCCATGTAGTGCCATTAAACATTTTGCCTGTTAACCCCTACTTTTCTTTTCATAATTTTATTACATATAGTTTAAAAAGCCATATTTGAAAATCTTATTAAATCCATGTTATTTTTTCATTGTTTTTGAAAGAAAAAAGGTGCCAATGTAAAGTGTATGCAAAATCTAGATAGAATCATTTCCCGCCAAATTTTAAACAGTTTATGTCTAGAAAACAAGCACACGGACCCTTCATTTTTTTCTGCTTTTTCAGTTCCTTCATTTGTATACTATCAATTTATAACAGTCTTTTAAAAAGCTTGTTATTTTGAAACATAGTAGCGAACAAATTAATAGTATCTTACTTTAAAAAATATATATATAAAGAACTAACTATAAGAAACCTTAATTTCAAATGTTGTAATTTTATAAGTCTTGTTCTATTTTTTTCTGTATTCAGTTTGTTTTATAGTGAAAAAAAAAGAACAAACCAAAAATAAACAAAAAATAAATGAATAGTATTATACATAAATCAATAACAACAAGAACTTAAAATTGGCCATGGTCATGTAACCCATATCAATGAGCGTTAAAAGCCGACAGTTAACCTTGACAAATATAATATTATCGATGTGCATGTCAGCTTCGAATGTTCTCATTGTTCTTTATTTGACTTATGTAGAACTACATTTAGAACAAGCATTAAATATTAACTATATTTAGACAATGTAAAAAATTGTTTTGACTGCAACCACCTGCAATATGTTACTATGAAATAAATCAAATTTCAGTTTCAATACTATTACCATTATACCACTAAAGGATATATAAGGTATACGTAAACGGGACAGAAAACGAATGACACAAACACAACGGTGTTGTTTCTGAGTTTTGTTTTGTTTTCTTGACAATAGAATTGAGAATGGAAAACGGAAATGTGTCAAAGAGACAACAACCCGATTTAAGAGCAGAAAACAGCTCAAGGCCACCTAATGGTCTTCAACAGAGCACCATAGTGTATACAGGTTTAGCGAAATGGACGCCACACTAATCTCCGAAACATACAAACGAACCAAAAATTTAAAAATCCACACAATACTAACAAAGGCTAGAGCATCCTCACTTCGGACACGCACAATAATTGCGGCGGGGTTAAACAATGTTTTGCTTGATCTTTACCCTCTCTCTCTCTACCTATTGAAAATGTGTACATGTAATAACACACAGCAATACGCACAGTAAAACTCAGTTTAAAAGAAGTCCAATTCCGTTGTTTGAATAGGTAACAAAGAAACTAAGCAAAATGACAATAATTAATTTCAAGAAGTTTTCAACCTACGTGGATAACTAAGCTAGCTTACTCTAGTGCCGGGCACATTTTTATCCTGTCTTCTAAATTATTTGTCTTCTTTTATTTCCTTGTTCAAATAAGTGATCATCATGTTGGTATCAATGTGTGTTTTACTTATATGAAATATTGTTTACATATTCAAATGAGAGGTTAGTGTGCATGTTAAACTGGTTATACCCAACCACATGTACTTTCTGATCCTGTTTCAAGTGAGGCTATCTTGGCCATTTGATGTTGTTTTTACGTCTATTTTCTCGGCGAAATCGGTTGTAACAACATTAACGGTACCAATTTTACTCTGCCAGATAGTGGTTAGTGTGGTATGTTACAACTGTTCAATATTTTTGTATAGTATATACTGTTAGCCTTTTTTGTATTATTTTGGCATTTTGCCACTTTTGTGGCTTTCGTGTTTTAAAAAAATACCTATACAGTATTCCTCTTTTTCTAGTAAAACTTATATTTGAACAAACTCATCCTAGATACCAGGATTAAAATTGGGTACGCCAGACGCGTGTTTTGTCTTCGAAGGACTCATCAGCGACGCTCGAATAAAATTCCGAAAGTTTTTGCCAAATACAGCTAATGTAATCTATTCCTGGTGTGGGAAAGCCATAGTATTTTGAAGAATTCAAAGTTTTGTTAACAGTTAGTTTATGATTTGCTATTCTTTATTACTTTGAACAATACAGTTCATCAGTATAATTATACCATATTTATCAATGACCTTTTTCACCGATATTTTGTTTATACACCCAAAGACTTTGATATGTACTTTTAAAAAATAAATTGACTTGATACAGTCTAGATTGGGGAAAAAAAACAACTTAATTTTCTGTCATTATGTGTTTCTGATCTTATTTTGTGTCTTTATGGAGAAACTTATCTGTTTATAACTAATGTAAAGTAATACCATTATTCCGTCTCTAATGTATGTTTGCTACATTAATTTGACAAAATTGTTGTTTCATGTGTTTACGTTTTTCATTTTATTACCAGAAAATGTCATAACAAATACAATAATTAGATTTCACAGTGGAAAAATTATATCCTTGGTTTTATTATACCGCTACCCCATCGCTAGAATTGCCAATAACCACTAACATGGAATGATCATCGGGGGAAACATTTTTGTCATTTGGTGATGATTTACCGTTCTGCTTCGATCTCATAATACTCAATTTAGTTCCATTAAGCTTGAGAGATGTACTATGGCTAGAAAATCTTCGAATATGTCGAGAATGGCAACACCCAAGTACCATTTTAAATGATTGTCTGAATTTCTGATTCATGAAACAGTATGTTATCGGATTACACGTGGTAGAAATATAGGACAACACAAACATTATTGAAAATGTTACATTGGAAAAATGATCTTTTAAACTTTCGAAGTGAAATATTTTCCAAGTTAACACAACGTATAAGGGTGTCCAACATACAAAAAATTCCAAACATACTGCTACAAGCATTCGTATCACTTTCAATTTAGCAGCACGATTCCGCTCTGGATTTGAATGACGTATTACTCTTCGGTATTCTAACATACGTCTTGGTGTAGATTCTGCGCTGCAGTATCCATTATCTGGAGATGTCAGTTGGGATCCATAATTTGAGTATTTCAAGGAATTTCTTTCCGTACCTTGTGTAAATGATCCAGAAAATTTCCCATTAGCAATACCTGTAAAAACAAATTATCAGCATTATATTATCAATAGTGTCATTATAGCAAACAAGTTTTAACAAAGCACATTGTCTTCAAAAGTAATGTTAAGTGCTTATTAACATTTTGATTTCTATCGATACATTTTAAATTGTCTTTCTTGTGTATTATGGAGACCTTTTTCTTTTCTTTTCATATTCAAATTTCACTTGGTTAAATCAATGTTAAAATAACGCAATATGGGGTACATATCAATGACATTTATTCTTATATTTGCTTTATTGTTATCTTATTGAAGTGTAATCCACGTGAACTTTTTCATTAATAAATTATTATTTTTGACAACGGATTGACTGGGATCATAAAACAACACGGTCTGCTATCAGTGACATTTGTTGCTCCAGTAGTAAAAAAATGCGGAAATGCACATTTTGTGAACTTTCAACATTCACCACTAAAGATTAAACGCGTAAAAGCAGGATTTCTACTATTATATAATAAGCTGGTTAGATATTGCTGGTGGTGGACTATCAGTCCCCGAGGGTATAATCAGCTCGGTAGTCAGTACTTCGGAACTGACATGATTTAAAAGAAACCTTTCTAAAATTGTCCGTTTATATAAATTATATAGAAACTAAGGTTTCAACTCCTTCAGGCAAAGTTGACCGTACATAGTTTTGACTATTTTTAGGTCTTTTTTGGTCATATAGATCTTCAAATGTTTCAATTCCTAAATATCCTTGGCTTTCGGATATACTGTTTTGAGCGTTCCTGATGAAGGAGAATCCAAAGAAGTGCTTCGGACGCATGACATTTATAAATTGTTTTTTTAATTCTTTTTCAGTCACTGAGATCAAATTTGATAATACATATCTTTTTTTTTTATTCTATGTCTTGTTATCTATTATACCGTATAGAATTGATGTTTTATCTGTCCTTGTTTTTTATGTACGGTTTTCTTATATATTGATCTAATATTAAAAATGTGGATTGAGGTCTAAAAAATAGTTTAGGCCGCCTCATTTCCCTTTTCTATCCCAATTCACGAACCTGTAGTAGTGTTTCCTATATAAAAAAATAAAGAGATGTGGCATGTATGTAAATGAGACAACTATCTACCAGGATTAAATGACATGGATATAAACAATTTTAGGCAACGGTACGCCCTTCAACAATGAGAAAAAACCCATACCGTGTAGTCGACTATAAAAGGTCCCGACATGAAAATGTGAAACAATTCAATAAAGAAAACCTACGGACTAATATATATAACCAAAAATTTAAGTAAAAAAAAATATGAAAAACATGAACCAACGGCAACCACTGAACTACACGCTCCTGACGTAGGGCAGGCTAATAAAGAATGTGGCGGGGTTAAACATGTTTGTCAACGTTATGTTTTTCGTTATTTGGGGAATCAGGTACATGTATTAATGACAGATATGTAATTGTTTCAGACAAATTTTATCCTGACGATTTTAAACTTGTCATATTGTTAAGACACGTTTCTATTGTTAAAAACTGAATGTATCCTTCTACATGTCTTTTTGGTAATTTCAGTCGTTGGGTTCTTGTCTTATTGCAATGAAATGTAGAACTCACACCTCCTTTTATTAATAAACATAATAGTGAATAATTTATTGTACTTTGAAACTTTTTGTACACACATTGGCCGAAGACCTAGGGAAAGAACAGAATTAGTGAAATGTTTGTACACGTATTGGCGGCGGACCGTCGGAAAGAACAAAGAATTAGTGAAATGTTTGTATGGATATTGGCCACGGACCTTAGAAAAAAACAGAGTATTAGTGAAATTTTTGTACATGTATTGGCCGCGGACCTACGGAAAGAACAGAGAATTAGTGACTACACATATTGGCCGCGGACCTACGGAAAGAACAAAGAATTAGTGAAATGTTTGTACACATATTGGCCGTTGACCTACGGAAAGAACAAAGAATTAGTGAAATATTTGTAGATATATTGGCTGCAGACCTATGGAAAGAACAGAGTTTTAGTGAAATGTTTGTAAATATATTGGCCGCGGACCTGAGGAAATAACAGAGTATTAGTAAAATTTTTGTATATATGTATTGGCCGCGGACCTACGGAAAGAACAGAGAGTTAGTGAAATGTTTGTACACATATTGGCCGCGTACCTACGGAAAGAACAGAATTAGTGGTTTGTACACATATTTGCGGCGGACCGTCGGAAAGAACAGAGAATTAGTGAAATAATTGTACGCATATTAGCCATGAACCTACGTAAAGAACATAGAATTAGTAAAATGTTTGTACATATATTGGCCGCTGACCGACGGAAAGAACAGAGAATTAGTGAAATGTTTGTACATATATTGGCCGCGGACCTAAGGAAATAAGAGAGAGTTAGTGAACTGTTTGTACACATATTGACCGCGGACCTACGGAAAGAACATAGAATTAGTGAAATGTTTGTACATATATTGGCCGCGGAAATGCGGAAATAACAGAGTATTAGTAAAATATTTGTATATTTATTGGCCGCGGACCAACGGAAAGGACAGATAGTTAGTGAAATGTTTGTACACATATTTGTCGCGTACCTACGGAAAGAACAGAATTAGTGGTTTGTACACATATTTGCGGCGGACCGTCGGAAAGAACAGAGAATTAGTGAAATAATTGTACGCATATTAGCCATGAACCTACGTAAAGAACATAGAATTAGTAAAATGTTTGTACATATATTGGCCGCTGACCGACGGAAAGAACAGAGAATTAGTGAAATGTTTGTACATATATTGGCCGCGGACCTAAGGAAATAAGAGAGAGTTAGTGAACTGTTTGTACACATATTGACCGCGGACCTACGGAAAGAACATAGAATTAGTGAAATGTTTGTACATATATTGGCCGCGGAAATGCGGAAATAACAGAGTATTAGTAAAATATTTGTATATTTATTGGCCGCGGACCAACGGAAAGGACAGATAGTTAGTGAAATGTTTGTACACATATTGGTCGCGGACCTACGGAAATAACAGAGAATGATTGAAATTTGTTTGTACATATATTGGCCGCGTACCTACGGAAAGAACAGAGGATTTTTTTGTAAATAAAAATATCATTTATAAAATCGTATAATCAATATTATCAAAAACGAAAGTCAATTTATAATTTGTTCTTAGTATGTGCAAAGACGATTTACGTTTGATAACAAATACGGTTTATCATTTACAAATTAAACACATCGAAGGAAGTCTTGATGTTGTAAATCATGTTTTACTACAGTATTACTTTGTATTCATGTCTTTTATATAATGAAAAGCAATATTCTGATTGATTTTAGTTTGTCTGAGATACTTATTATAACAAAGGAAATAATTGAGCAGATCAGACTCATATCTGATAAAAAAAGGCTGACCAAATTGGTAAACCGAACAATATAACCAGTGCAATAGATTACTTTCATATTACCGATTTTTGACTCCGGATTATACAATTTTCGACAGGTTATCTACTCTTTGGTACGGCATCCTGGTACTCGGTCAAATAAGAGCAACAGAAAAAAGTAAAATCAAACACATACTCGGTGCAAATTGGGGGGTAAGTTTAATGTTTTTGATGATTTTTTTTTGTGTACAGAAATCATATAACAATTATCCCCCCCTCCCCTCCCCAAATTGTACAGATTCTAATCTTGATTTTACTTCTTTAATTTTGCTCTTACTTGACCGAGTACCAGGTTTCCTACCACAAAGTATGTAACCTGTCGAAAAATATAAACTCCGGAGTTAAAAGTCGGTAATATGAAAATGGTCTATTGCTTATTAAAATAGCGATTAAAACTTCAGTATCCAAAATCATTTTAACACATGCCAGGAAGTACTGACATGACTTATGAAATGTATTTCTTAAATATAATTGAAATATTAAGAAACTAAATCTTCACACTCGTCCTTGCATGGTTTTGTCTTCTCCGTTTAGGACCCTTTTGGTCATATAGCTCATCAAGAATTATACATCCCGACTGTCAAATGTTTTATTTAAGCCTTTTTAATGAACTCAAGACTATTACAAAAAAGCGTATTGGACGCACAAATTTTATCGTTTTACTCTTATTATATAGGATAAGATATACCTATTGATTGTATCATGTAAAACAATTTATAAAGCAGCTAACATAATTTTATTCGTGGTAATTTTAATGACAGAATTCTTTTATTCTTTGTACGAATATGGATTCTGATATCACTCAACTGACGCGGACTTAAATTTCTATCGTCACTAAAATGTCGCAAAGTAGGCGCAAAGAAAAAATTAACAATACACAATTAATCAACGCGTGCAAGCCCTAGTCTCATGGAAATATCAAATACAAATTGTTTATCGTAAAAAGGAAAAATAGATCATGTAGGTTAGGTTACTTTTTATAAAATCAAATAGATGTAAAAAAAAACACTACAATCAAAATACCGAACTCCAAGGTAAATTCAAAAAGGGGCAGTCCATTAAAACTGACAAAATCAAACGTTTGACTCTATCAATCAACGGAACGAATTGAAAACAACTGTCATGTTTGTGACTTGGTGTAGACATTTTCCGAAGAAAATGGTGGGTTAAATCTGATTTTATTGCTATTTAAACCTTTTACATGTTGTTTATAGTTCCATTATATTGACAAGATTTAATAGGTGAGCAACACAAACAGACATAATAGGTTACTGTTAATAATTGGGATCCAGCAGCAAGAACTGTGCAAACATACATCACATACATACAACACATTAAACTAAACAATTCAAACAAACATACACCAAAGACGCTAACAAAAAGTTGTTGCATTTGATAGTAATTTTGAAAAAGACGCTCACAAAAAAGTTTTTGTAGTTGATACAGTATATAGTATACACCTGCTCGATAAAGTACAAATTAAGTAAAATAAAAATACAATGGTAAATATAATGAAAACAACTACAAATGTATGTAAAAACCTCTTGCGTTCGAAACGCACCTCTGGACACCATGAAGGCCCAAAAAATAATCAAACCTGATAGCTGGATGCACAAATACCGAGTCACGCCAACAGTCATACGACCACAAGAAAGATAATAGTTCAAGACAAATAAAGGGAAACTGTAAAGAAAACGAAAAGATAAATGACTTCAGCACCTATAATCTTTTGTAAGGAAACTTGTCAGAAAAAATTTTGAGATTGAAAATGCAAGCCCTAATTTGTTATCTCGTGGACAAAATTTTCAAACTTTATGTTATGTCACTATGTTTATTAGATTGAGTATTTGTTTTAGACTCAACCTTTCAGTATTTAAGGCAAAACGATTGACTAGGGAATTAACGTCTTCAATTGAAAAAACATGTTTATAAATAAAGTTCATTTTTATCCCGATTTTATTGCTAAGCCTTAATTGAAACTTGTTACAAGTAGTGATATCAAATAAGGTATTTCCAAGACACGAGACATTACAGTTTTAAAGGCAAACAGTTTCATTGAGATTACTTACTATATGAGAGGGATAGATAAAAAAATGACAATGAGACAACTTTCCACAACAGACCGATGAACATTGACTTTAACCTATAGTAACCATTAAAATTTTTCGATTATTGCCATGGAATGGTAAGTTTGTCTTTGACCTATGATTTATAATATCCCTTTGATAACTTCCTCCTCTCTTTTCCTTTAAAAGACACAAAGCTGACAAGAAATGGAACAATTCATAACAGAAAACAACAAAATGCAACAGTATGATTTATGCTAAAAGAACAAGCAAAGCAAAGAGCAATCTATGACAACCACTTGACTACCGGCTGCTGGTTTGAATAAACATATTTGATTGCGTTCAACAGCACAACAAAAGACCTAACTGAATAAAATGATTGACTCAATAGTTGTCCAATTGACAACCTGAAAACTGCACCAAATTGTGTACTGCGCATATCTATTTGATAACCATTTTAAATACGAAAGAACAGAAGATTGAAAAGGTTAAAGATAAATTGCGATCAAAATTGCATATAAAATGTATGCATTTTTATAAACCGATGTGTAGATTCATACAATACAGTACTTTGCAATCTGCAAATCAAACTGGAATGTTGTGAAATAAAAAAAATACCATCTCTTACTTTTTAAAAACAGTGATGATGCTTCATTAAAACAGCAGATTCAGTTTTACCAATATCATACAATAGCTGAATAAATCTTTTATAAAACGATATTGACAGTATATTAGGAAATACATTTGGCTCATTTGTGTTATAATGAAATTCATTGCAGGTGTTATTGGTAAAATTTAAATTTAATTCTGTTGAACGAAACTGATACTATATTTAGAAATATTTGCTGACTTTGTCAATAACATTACAGAGAGTGCACTTAGATGTTATTTTGCATTTAGTGCTTAGATTTAATCTCCTTATCACAATGTTCCATACATACGTTGGGTGGTTAATGCAAGTGTTAAAATTAATCGTAAAGATGTTACTAGTAACCTTTTGCACTATTTTGGCAGGTTAATGCAAGTGTTAAAATTAATCGTAAAGATGTTAACCTTTTGCACTATTTTGGCAGCTTTGATTGTGTTGAATTTGAAAATAAAATTCATAACTAAACTAAAGGCTCGAAAGACTCTGGGTCGTTCAGCTAGATCTCTTTTAATCTTCGACAATGGCAACTCTCAAACAATGTAATTCAAGACGAAAATCCCTTTTTTGTTGAGTTTGTATTGCTGATCATACAATTTTTGCTGTTTACAGTTTCTTTCTTTCTTCCAATACTTTCCCAAAACTCAAAAAGGGTACTTTTTATTGTCATAGAGCAATAGCTTCTTTAAAATCGAAAATTTCGACTACGTTGACTTATGTGTATAGATCTTGTCTTGCTGATCATTTTTGCTTATATACTTTAGTTCTTATTTTTGACGTATGAGTTCGAATGTCTCTTTGGTATCTTTTGCCTCTCTTTTAGTTATAGTTTTTACCAAAAATGATAGAGGAGTAAACATCCTCAATAAAGGACAATAACTTAAATAAGTAGCTTATTGGCTACTAGAGCTATGGTTACTTATTTGAGGATCTTGCCTTGCTAATAATTATTGCTGTTTACATACTATAGCTTTCTGCCAAAAAGGCAAAACATGTGTAAAAATTGTCAGTTTTGGGGAAACACGTCTATAAGGAGTCGACTAACAATAATAACACCTTAACTTATCAATAAATCTTTTCTTGATGATAATTTTTGCTTTTTAAAGTTTCTCTCCATATCAAGGTTTTTGAGATAATTGACAATAACTTCAAAAATAGGTCAGAATCGTCATTTAAGTGAAATAACTGTTTTAAGGTCAAGGAACAGGAAATAGGCTATGTTACAGATTTTGCTAAAATTTTGCATACAACCTTGGCTCGTTGAACTATAACTGAAAATCGAAAAAAAAAAACCATTTATATCTTTTATTATATCTGAAATGTTACTGATTGAACTCTTTCAAAATAGGTGAACATTTGTATAGAAATCACATAAATCGGCAAAAAACCTTCTTAAATTTGTATTAAAATCATCAAATCTCTGATTACGAATTTATAGCTTTTTCTTAAAAAAAAACACAATATGTTGTTGGTACATAAATTTCCGTTTTAATGATATAAGATAATCATATGGTCACCGACTTTGTTTTTTGTCTAATAATCAATTTGTTACCTAGTTGGTAGTGAAAAGCGTCAAAAGTTAACGTTTTGCGGCCTGTAACGCGATGACGTTACGATTATTTCGACTATTTTTGGTATTTTTTTCACATAGAACACCATTTTGAATTATGTATACCGTTAAAACGAAGTCGGTGACCTCTGTCAAAGTTTGGTTTAAATTGCATAAGTGTTTTCAGAGGAGACAATAGTTGTAAATGTTACCGGATGTTCGACGACAGACGACGGATGCCAAATGATCATAGATATAGATTACAAAGGCCTGGTCAGCTTACAAAACTACGTTCATATGATGGTTGATTACATAGAAATGCCTTGTATTAATAAGACGTTGATAATTGTCAAAGTATTGATACAAATGTAACACGTGGATTGCGTGGCTGTCTTAAATCATGTTCTTGTAATCATAATTAGAAACTCCCATTCGTGGAATGTGAAAAGGGTCCAATACTACAGTGTACGCTGTGAAAAAAAACCCACAGAAATATACGATATTCTGCATTAAATAAAACTGAGAATGGAAATGGAGAATATGTCAAAGAGACAACAACCCGACCAAAGAGCAGACAATAGCCGAAGGCCACCAATGGGTATTCAATGCAGCGAGAAAATCCCGCACCCGGTGGTGGTCCTCAGCTGGCCCCTTACTAAAATTGTGTGCTAGTTCAGTGAAAATGGACGTCACACTAAACTCCAAAACATATAAATGAACTAAAATTAAAACACATACTAGACTAACAAAGGCCAGAGGCTCCTGACTTGGGACAGGCGCAAAGATGCGGCGGGGTAAAATTTGCTTTGTGAAATCTCAACCCTCCCCCTATACTTCTAGCCAATGTAGAATAAAGAAACACATAGCAATACGCACAGTAAAACTCAGTTTAAAAAAAGTCCGAGTCCGATGTCAGAATAGGTAACAAAAGAAACTAAGCAAAATGACAATGAAACATAAATGAACAAAGGATTACTAGCAGTTACTGACATGCCAACTCCAGACCTCAATTAAACTGATTTTCAAGATTATGTCTTCATCATATGAAAATCAAGTACAATCCCTTCCGTTAGGGGTTTAGTATCATACCATCAAAATATGCAATCCTTAATGACTTGACAACAGTATCGTAACTATATCCTTTCCGATTAAGTCTGTTTAAAGGTTTGGTTAGCTTTTGAGGTGAATGCCGACATTTTTGTGCTTTGTAAAGAATATTACCATAAAATATTGGATGTGAAATACCTGAACGTATAAGATGTCTGCATGTTGATTTATATTTACGAATGATTTCCTTGTACCGATGATAAAATTTAGTAAATGTTTTGACTAGTTTGTGATATCGAAAACCCTGGTGTAATAATTTTTCAGTAATACAGAGATTTCTTTCGTTGAAATCAAATACGTTGCTACATACACGAGTGAATCGAACAAGTTGAGATATATAAACACCATAAGATGGCGACAAGGGAACGTCACCATCTAAAAATGGATAATTAACAATAGGAAATGGAAAATCATCTCTTTTATCATAAATTTTGGTATTAAGCTTCCCGTTAAAGATATCAAGATCCAGGGAAGGGCAGTGTTCATTGTTAGTATTATCTTTATTTAAAGTCAGTTCGGCAGGATAAATCTCTTTAGTGTACATACTGAAGTCGTTAGTTGAAACCCATAATAATTATCTCTTGATTGGTTTTCGCTAAACGTTCAAATGCAAAAATGTCCGACACATTCATAATAGATAAATATATACTAAACATATTCTGTTACAACATGTACAAGGACCAGAAAAGTAGATGATAGTGAAAAGTGTCATGTCAATTTTGACACTGGAAAATAAGGACAGATATTAAGTGTCACTACAGTTTATCTACGAAACCCTCGAACGTGTTATTGTCGAGATTGACAAAGACCATTACATTCTTTCTACCCTTGTTATTTAACTTGCTGGAATAGACCGTACATTCATACATTCTGCAAGCTGATCGGAGTCGCTCATTGGAGATGTTAGACAGTAGATGAAATGATCATGCCAGTACCTCTTGCTGTTGTTGGAATCAAAGTAACTAAATATATGGTATGAATTTCAATATTCAAGATACTATGCTGATCAGGAAATAAATATACCTTAACACTTAAAGTACTACTTACCATTTAACTCTTTCTGATGTGCCTGTGCTTGGATACCATCCCATAATGTAGAGATAATACAACCATATGCAACAACCATTAAAAGAAATGGACAAAAGAGCAAAATCAAGTCAAGAAACACCGTGTATGCTTTTAAAAGTGCTTCGTCTTCCCATATCTCATCACATCTGTGATTTCCAAGTCTTAATCGTGTGTACTTGGTTTGCACTGCTATAGGGATCATCACAATGGCAGCTAAAATCCAGCAGAAGATGATAACTTTGTATGCATGGGATAGCGTCTGCCATCGTCGTGAACGTAATGGGCGGCATATACCAAAATAGCGTTCCAAGGATATGGAAACCAATGTGAAGCAGCTAACACCAACTGACACACCTGAAACAAGATTTAGTATTGAAGCCTTCATTAAAATTTTCAAGTATATGTAAGCCAAACCAATTTTAATGAACATAATGACAAACGACCTGTGCTATGCATTCTAGGATTTGATCAAATCTAGAGGACATAATGCAATAACGGAAAAATAATTAGAAATCCAACCGAAAGAAAAACACATTTCGAACAAACATTATAAGTATTGCATGCAAACAAACATTTGGTTTTGGCACAAAATAATTATTTTGAGCTAACGAAATTATATTTTAAAGGAATGAAAGATTTGTTTTCATTATGCGTCTGCATACATTTTTATCTTTTGAAATGATTTGGACATGGATAACGAATAATGTAATGAAGGTGATGTGATCTACATTATAGTGAATAGTGGAAAACCAATTTTTATTATTTTACCATTTTTATTTTCAGTTTTTGTTCCATAATTGATATCACATGAAAATTGTTAAGTATGGACATTTTTTCTTTTTCAGCGTGATTTTATCAAGATTGTACATTTACTATTTTTTGCGCAAGTCTACTTGGTACCATTGTTTATTGTCAAAATGAAAGAATCTGTTTTTCAAACTCAATTTCTTCAAAATGCATAATTCGAAATTGCAACGACTGAATTAATTCGTTGAATTTTGTTAACTTCCAATAAAATATGTATGGTGTCATTATGTAGTTTTGCATTAGTATAAGTGCATAGAGTATGAAAAAATGTGGAAGGTGTTAACATTTTAATTCATTTCATCAAAAGTGTATTGCAGTTTTAAAGACCCTCTGATACGTTACATTGTAGATCATTTTGAATGGTGCGAATCTTGTATGATTCAAATGAAGAAGCGTCCTTGAATGGTTAGTTAGAAGTTTACATCATTCTAGGATGGTATACGACGTTGAATTTAAATTTGGATACATTTAAGTTCTAGTCTTATGTTACCAATAAAAAAAAAAACCAGCAGTTTTACTCTGCACTTGAATGGCGCTTAGTATTTCTATTTTAAGCATTTATATTATAAAACTGGATTATTTAAATTAAACCAAAATAATGATATCATGGTGAACCATATATTTGGTTACTAAAATAGAAAAAGAGAAGCTATAAAAAGACATTCTATGCTATCCACATTTGGTAACCATCAATTATGTTGCATTATGAAGAGTCTAATCGTATTTGGTCAGTATTGTAGGTTTCCTCATCAGGGAGTATTTTACCCACCTATCATAGCATATTTCCCAATAATATATTCTTCTAAAATCAATTTTAGGCAGATTTGAACATATAAGGTTATACAAATCATTTAACTTAACTATTGCCTATAACAACTTCAATTTCTTTTGTGAAGTGTACTTAAGAAAATTTCAAGATGAGAAACATCATTTAAAGTGCTGTTCCTTTGAATGTTACTATTTCCCAGTATATCCTTAGAAAAATGTAGCATTTACATTCAACTCGCATCCTTTTACCAAATCGTTTAATGAAAAAGAGGTGAAAAGAGATGAAATATGTTCTAATAATCTTTGGTTGATAAAGATTAAAAATCGCAAAAAAAATATAAAAATAGAAAGATTAAAAATCACAAAACAATATAAAAATAGCTTCATATGACAGCAGGAGATTGACGTTTCCTAAAAAAGAATTAAACATTGTTTTTTTATAGACTTTTACAGCATTCAATCGTCATACCTTTATTAATTTGAAGCTGAAAGTATAACAATACGATGATATTAGTTTTCCAGTTCAATACATTGTAAGAAACTGTTAATAATTTTTTTTTAATTGATTTGATAATCTAAGAATCTTGTTTTTCATCCATATTAGTTGCATTGCCATCACAAATAAGATAGTATTTTTTTTTCTAAATGTTTATAAGTGCACCGAAGAGATAAAATTCAAAAATTGTAAGAATAGAAAATCAAAAGCGAGCATACAATTCAACACCCACCGTTACAGACTGTGTATTTTTGCAGACTTGCAGACGGAGTTTTATCCATTTCCCAAGTAAATAAACTTTCAAATAGATCACAAAAAACAAACAAAAAATAACCTAAAAAGTATATGTACGTTTTTAACGCTTTTACTTGTTCACATTAAAAAGGACTTCATGAACTGGGATTTGCCTCGTACACAAAAACTGCAACATAGGTATGAGGAAGAATGACTGAAATCAACACTATATAAGTTTTTTGTCACTATCATGAATTAGTTTACGGATACGATGTGTCGGTGTTTTAACTCACTAGCGACATGTTTTCGCGGTCTTAGAATTGATAACAGTCATACTTTAACTAATTGTGTCTTATTCTCGATCATGACATTTGGACAGAGTGTGAATAAGCATGGCGGGTAATTCATTCATAGCTGGAGCGTTTACCTTGTCAGCGAACCCGAAAATGAAAATAACGCCGAGGCATTGGTTGAATTAATTTGCATTATTTTTTTACGTTGTTAGCCAATTACAACTTTTTTTTGTTTACTTTTGAAAATATTAGTCAGGGTGTATTGGGTTCGGAAATTGGGAGTTTATTTATTTATTCTGAAGTTATCGTATTGCAGTCAGTTTAAGTGGTGGATAAGTCTTTTATCGCAGACAAGAGCTTCACAAGCATTTTCAATTTAATTATATGCCGATGTTCTGAAATCAAACCAAAAGGTTATAGAAAATATGGATTGCATAGGGCTGACAATACGTTAAACACCATATGCACATTATAATTTAGTGTATGTATTTTGGCCGGGGGAAGTCATCGTAGATTGCCAGTGGTCGTTAAAAAACAATATTTCTCCGTCAAAAACCGTAGACATCAAAACTAATCATTCTTTATTGCATAGATTGCATAGAACAGCATGTCTTAAACTGCAACTTGTTATTAACTTAGCTATACTAGATAGATTAATTTGTTTATTTAACAGGTTTATGTCGGTCTGATTGGCGGCTAATTCATCTACATCGGAGCGAAATTACTGAGAAAATTTAATGATCTATCAATCATATATGAATTGCCTGATTTCAGTTAACCTTTGTATGCCTAAATGTTGAAATATTGGTTTTCACCCGTAAAACATTCAATGTGTCAGGAATGATTGGTAACCCTAATTAGCCCAAAAGTTCTGCAATTGATATTAACTCTTAACTATGAAGGTTATTAAGTATCATTTATGCAGTATACTTCGTTTGATGTATCATTAGTTGTAACAGCATTTCATCAGATAAATCATTCAAATACATAAACCGCAAAAAAATGATACGAAGATTGAAAAACATGTCTCAGATGTAGATATACATTCCGGCATTGCGTTTGATGCCTTCGTTGAATTTTTTTGAATCTGGTTTGCTTCTTTTACAATGGTTATTAATAATATTATTTAATAACTAATATCACACATAAGTAATAAATTCGAAACGATTTTCCACATGCACGAGAGTTTATTTTTACCTCAATTACTGTCAATCATGATGGAGCGTTTTTATGACATTCCATTACTGATATATCTTGAAGAAATATGATTTGTTGAACGAGATATGAAATATTTTCGTTTTGCAGAGATAACTGTGTAACGTAAACAGCAATTACTTTGCATTTAAGAATTAAAGTTTGTACAAAAAAGAAAGTGTCTATCAATATATTAGAAATAATGTATCTGCAGCCAAACTTTATATGTGTCCTGAAAAGGATAAAAGCATCCTATTCACAACCCGTGAGAGTGAAAGTACCTTTTTGAAAAAGACTTAAATTTTGTTTTCATCAGATTTGGTCAAAATAAATAACAAGGTCCTTTCGAAAATTATAAATATTTAAAAATGAAAACTATCCACACATTTAATAACATTTTAAAGCTGGATGTCTTTTCTCAAATCTGATATTGTTCTTCTGTGCTTTGTGTGTGAAAACTTAGTATGGTGTTAATCGGACGAATGTACTTTATGTTTTTTTTTTTAGGATTCCTAATAATGATAACCTATTATTGATAACTTAAGTAACTCTTTATTTGAAGACATTTATACAAAGAAGATATGTTTTATTTCTTTTATTTCTCTATGTTTATAATTAGATTTCAACAAAAACGTTTTCATGTGTATATGATAATGCTTAGGAAGTGGTGAAACATGCTTATATTTCCGTCATTGTTATCACAAGCACATTCTCTTTTAAAAGACAATCATGCAGGTCGAGGGTCACTTATTATAGGTAAAATATTTGGATTACTCAGTGACCATATCATCTCCCCGGAGAGTGTTTTAGACCCGAGTTTATCTTACATTATACAAGCTTAAGTACTAGTACTGATACATTTGTCATCGTCCCCCTTCTTTGTCTCTTTATCATATACCGTTATGGATTGACCGCAGTACAATATCTATTTTTCTCAAAAGTAATCTACCCATTTCATCAATTTCATACTCAGCTGCTGTATTTTTAGATAAAAAAATCAATTACTATAATTACAAAATCTTATCTAGTTTTTATTCTACAACAAGTTGTATTTTACAAATTAGCAGTTAAAAGTGAAAATTCTCGTGACAGTTGGAAGTGAATCATCATATTGTTTTATACGAAGATAAGAATACGATTGTCATATTTGACAAATTGACTCTGCGTGGAATTTAAGATTTATCATACGTTTTTAATTCTATGCAGATTAGGTATTTTTAAGTAAATAGATTTTTGTATTTTATCAGAAACATTGCTTTCATTATGCAGGTTGGGGACTATCTCCTAAATGGGTTATGGATATAATACCAAAATGGGATATAATTTTACTGTGCAAAAAACGTGTTTTTGTATTCATGAGAAAGTATTGCAAAGTTCAAATAATTTCAAGGCAACAACTTTTGGTTAGCAACTATTCTGAACACCGTATTATTCATGAGTTTGATTCCTAGGAAGAGGGACCAATCTAGCAACTTATTCATTTTCTGGAAAAGTCTCTAACCAAAAGTTGCTATTGCTGACTTTAACAAATGCACTTTTCAATATTTTTGCTTAATTCAAAA